CAAGGGGGCTGCCCGAAGCCGGTAGCTCTCGGGCAGCCCGGTTCTTAAACAGAGCCTCCAGCGGCTGGGGCTCTGTGTAACTGACACTGGGTCAGTTACACACAGCCCCGGCGGCTGGAGGCTCCAGCCCCCGCAGGGTCTGGAGGCACGGGGCTGCCCGAAGCCGGTAGCGTTCAGGCAGCCCGGCTCTTAAACAGAGCCGCCATTTTCCCGGACATGTTCGGCTTTTTGGCAATTCCCCCCGGACAGGGGTTTGACTGCCGAAAAGCCGGACATGTCCGGGAAAAAGAGGACGTATGGTAACCCTATCTAACAACAATCACCCCAAGTGTGGTATGGGTTGCAACTGTGAGCTGAAAGTCCCCACATGAAGGTGGATCAACCTCAAAGGAATATTTGAGTCAATGCAAAGGTGTAATACACACACAGAAATAACTGAAACTGTTTAGCAAAAGCACTGAGTACAATACTGGATGAAATTTTGGACAGAGTGAATGTATACCACTTAGTAGAGAAGGATTGTCTGGTATTATGATAAGCCAGGTGCATTAAAGAAACCTGATGGGAACACTTGAGAAGGCTGAAAGCAATGGGATATGACTTGGACAGCCTAGAAAGCGGAAAGGGTTAAAGTGAAGACAGGAGAAAGTGCTTTCCAGAAATGTAAGATACGTTTTTTATTCTGTGTAACTAAACCTAAGGGGAACCTTAGTTAGATGAGCTCTACAAAGTGTCAGACTAAATATCTCTTGCACACTTGTTTCCTTTGTTTCAATCTGATCTTCTCTTGCTATTCTTAATATAGCTATTATTATTATATTATTATTATTTTATTTTATTTTATTTATTCATTGTTAATTTAGTGTTACAATAGAGCCTAGAGACCTCAGCTGAGACAAAGGAACCATTGTGCTAGGCACTATAAAAAAAATTAAACCAGCTCTGCTTATAAATATGAACTATTAGGTGCCATCAGGTGTACCACCAGGTCTACCCACGTAAGTTTTTAAGTACAAATGCTGAGTCTCCTTACAAATCAAAATACAACACACTTTGAGGCACATATGGTACAGCCCACACTGCTGTATTCACTACAGCAAAATGTGTTTTAGGCTTCTATTGTGCACATTGTTTTGAAGCACATTTTCTTACATGTCAGCTTTTGATGCTGTCACATCTTTCTATTCACAGTGCATTGTGCACTGACAAACATCACTAAGAATGAAGATAAAAAATAACAGCATGAGGAGAGTAAGCTCTATTTTTATGAGGATAATTGAGAACTCAGAGCAGGAAAATTATATGGACAATTGTTGGTACCGTGGCCTCACTCAAAGCCAGAAGGCAGAAAGCAGTAGAGAAAATTAAACTGATGAAAGAGTTATCTTGAGTTCTCACCTTGCTGTACAAATACCAACTGCTGTTTGCAGGAATTAGTGGACAAAACCAGTACCCCATATGCTACTGTATACCTATATAGTTATATGTTGTGCCAGTAGCCTTGAACATAATGATGACAGAAGACCTAAATCCCCATCTTTACGCCTCTCTTTAAAGTGCCTCACTAGCTGTTGGCATTATACAAATAATAATAATAATAATAATATGATACAGGTTATGAAATCTTATCAGATAAGGAAAAAGGATGCTATTAAGGAGGGCATTTGCAGTTGATTTTGTTATTTCCTGCAATTTGTAAATTGATATAGGGGCAGTCGATGATACAGAATTAATCTCAATGACTCTTGTTCAGGTATTTTAAAATAAAATGCAAAATAAAGTATATGGATTTGGGGTTTACCAAAGCTTTTAAAATAATATTAAAAGTTGTAGATGTTCATTAGCATTTTTCAAAAAACATTTTGTCAGGAAAATAGGACCATGTAATGTAAGAACTTTCCCTTTTTTTACAGTGGTACTAGTTATCCTGCTTTTCCAAAAAACAATTTGGGATGGCTGTTGAAAGGGTGAATATACACAGCTTTGTAGAATGAATGTGTTTGCTATACAAACATTGTTTCTGCCCTCATGAGAAGTGACTTCCCTGTCCTCATTCTTAACGCTTGCAATGGGATTATAGCCTCCACAGCAAAGGCCATAGATAGGATGTGGGGAAAATGTTTTTAGGTCTCACAGCCAGCTTAACCCTGTAATTCCATTGTTCTTCCCTCTCTGATATGAATTCCCCGGAACTTTATTTAGTGTTTAAAATACACAGAACACCCGATGTTTATTTTTATCTGAATTAAATAAACTGAAGCTTTAACCCACTTGTATGGTTCATTGGTGATTGATGCCCCAAAGGATGACATAAGGCCCAGTTGCGCACTCAGTTGCTTTTCAGGAAGTCACCTATGGCTCTGCATAATTTATAGGTGACCAATCTTTTATTTAACAGCAGTTCATCTTACAGAAGAGTTGATACACTTGGGCACCAACCTAAGGAAGGAAAGTCAAATCTGACAGTGCCTAGCAAAAAAGAAAGCCTTTTCTGTTTCCTGAAACCTCAGGACTCGGATGGGGTGATGGTTTTATTTCTTTAAGAAAGTGTATGTAAGGAGGGTTTACGATGTACTACACAGATGTGAAATGCTACCTGAAGTGAGAAATATTTTGAACTTTTGAATTTCTATTCAACGAGTCAGTTCCTAGTCTCTATAAATAGTAATTTATAGGTTAGATAAATGTCTATCAGGGATGGTCTAGACAGTATTTGGTCCTGCCATGCGGGCAGGGGACTGGACTCGATGACCTCTCGAGGTCCTTTCCAGTCCTAGAATCTATGAATCTATGAATAATTCAAAAGAGAAAATAATGGGTTTGTAGCTTAAAAATGTAAATCTTCTCCATGGGAGATTATTTTCCTTAATGTAAGAAACTGCAATTAATAATTTCCAGCAAGGCCTTTTTCTGTGAGTGCCATCTCTGAATTTACCCAATTTTGGGAGGGTCTCTGGGTCAAGCAAGAAACACAAAAAATACAGGTTTAGTTTTCTGTTATAAGGGCTAGATCAAAAATAAGCACCAAAACATACTGCTACGTATGAAGGAACAATTACAAATGGATTTTACTCTACTGTCTATATTAGTGGCAAAATTACAGACAAAATTTTCCACTCATATCTCAGCTTGGATATTCTGCTCTGCCTGAACCTGATCTTCCTTCCTTTGAAGTCAGTGGTGGGGGGTTAGGCCCCATATATGTGCCAAAATGTCACTGATGTCAATGAGAAAGACAATGCGGGTGAGGTAATATCTTTTATTGGACCAACCTCTGTTGGTGAAAGAGACAAGGTCATCTTCAGGTCAGCTCTGTAGAGCTCGAAAGCTTGTCTCTTTCACTAACAGAAGTTGGTCCAATAAAAGATATTACCTCATCTACCTTGTCTCTCTCATATCCTAGGACCAGCATGGCTATAACACCACTGCAAACAACTGATGTCAATGGCAGTTCCATGCACATAGGGATAGCAGACTATGGCGTCCATGGCGAAATCCTGGTCCCACAAAAGTCAGTGGCAAAACTCCTCACTCCATATCTCTGTGAGGATCTGAGAGGATAATTTTGTTGTAAGTATATGGACTAGGCCATAGTGGCTATAAGGGAATGCTGCAGCTTTGTTGAGTACATAATAATGATAGAAAAACCTCAGAAGTTTTGGCTCTTCGGGTAACCATCATTTGTCTAGAGAACTGAACTTATATGCTTTTCTTTGATACAGAAAATCAGGGTGGAAAGCTTGTGAGAAGTTTTCTTATGATTGGGCCCTACCAAATTCACGGTCCATTTTGGTAAATTTCATGGTCATAGGATTTTAAAAATCATAAATTTTATGATTTCAGCTATTTATATCTGAAATTTCAGGGTGTTGTAATTGTAGGGGTCCTGACCGAGAAAAGAGTTGGGGAGTTGCAAGGTTATTGTAGGAGGGATTACCCTTACTTCTGCTCTCCTGCTGGTGGTGGTGCTGCCTTCAGAGCTGGGCAGCTGGAGAGCGGTGGCTGCTGGCTGGGAGCCCAGTTCTGAAGGCAGAGCTGCTGTCAGCAGCAGTGCAGAAGTAAGGATGACATGGTATGATATAGCCATGCTTACTTCTGCACTTTTGCCTGCAAAGCTGGGCCCTCATTCAGCAGCCACCACTCACCAGCCACCCAGCTTGAAGGCAGCAGCACAGAAGTAAGGGTACCATGATATGGTATCGCTACCCTTCCTTCTGCACTGCTGCTGGCAGGGTAGTGCCTTCAGAGCTGGGCACCTGGATAACAGCCACCACTCTGGCAACCCAGCTCTGAAGGCAGCGCAGAAGTAAGGGTGGCAATACTGCGACCCCCCCTAAAATGCAGAAATGCTGGTCTTTGTGAAATCTGTATGGTATAGGGTAAAAGCACACAAAAGACCAGATTTCACAGGAGAGACCAGATTTCACAGTCCATGACATGTTTTTTTATGGTCGTGAATTTGGTAGGGCTCTATTTATGAGATTTCCAGTGCATCCCAAAAATAAGGTGCCAATATTTTGTTTGCCATCATATTTCCTATGTTATTGCAAAATGGAAAAATGATACTTAGGGACCTTTGGTAAGTGCTTTGAGATACAGGAATTGGAAGTATTGTGTGTTAAGGGTTCTATGGTATATCTCTTTGGTTGCTAAGCATTTACAGTACTCATGTTACTACTTGATGGAGTAAGTGCTAATCAAAGTGAATAAGAGCTATACATGGAATATTATTACTGTATCATCATTAATATTATTGTTTCTCTTCTGATCCCAGCCAAAACCAGGGATGTGCAAAAGACAATAAACAACAGAAAATAAAAGAAACAGGACTATGTTAATGCACACTAGGGAACTTTTAGTGCACACCAGCAGGATCAACACAGGCCAGTTAGTGCATGACACATTGGTACTGAGCGCAATATATACTCCACTGGTGCAGACCAATGTATTGTGTAGACAATCCCTAAATGATTTGCCCAAGGCCAGACAGGAGCTCCGTAACTGAGCAGGGACTTCAATGCACATTTCCTAAGTGAGTCCCTTAACCACTGGATCATCTTCCCTCTTAGGGGGCAGTTCACTGAGGAAAGCTTTACAGAGATGACTTCCCCTTGTACCCCCCTTTCTCCCAACCCGCATGGGTTTTCCAGTGGAAGAGGATGATCCAGCCCTTTCGATCTGAACTGTACAGAAAACTCTCATGAAAGCCTCATCCCCCAAAATTTCTCATCTCCATTTCTGTGGACTTACCCTGCGTGCACCCCAGTGTAATGGAGACAAATACTTGGTCCATTTTTCCCCCATTGTAAATATATATATATATCCAATAGACTGAAACAGCTGTATTGCTTGTGTCCAGCCCCAGCCTTTACTTCAAACTTTTTGGCTTTTGCTGCTTTGTGTCTCAGTTTGAACATAATTTAAACATTTTTATTTTTCTAAAAACCATTTTTGTGTCCATGAAGGGATGCGCCTAATACTCTCAGAAGAAAAGCAGAGAATAACAACTTAGTATACACTTCATTGTAATCCTTGTGGACACTGTTAACTGAAATTTCTTATTTGCCTCAAACTCCATTCCCTCCCCAATCCGCTTTTCTGGCGGTGTGCAGTTTGCTTCAGTGCTGGAGACAACTGACCAAAATATTATGGGACGGATGACCTGCATTTTACTTAAGAAAATAGCTGGGCTCATTATCATGGAGGGTTCTTACTGTAACTTGGCCCACTCCGGTTCAAAGTTCACAGGCCACATTCTCATGGTAAGAAAGCTACCAGGGGAGCTTGCTCTGTGGTCAATAACAGGTGGAAAAGATTAACCCTTTGAGAGTCATGCCCCTCAGAACTCCAGGGGTCATGACATGTAAGGCAGGGTCTGTTGTCATCAGTGAACAGACAAGCCCATTCAAGGCCTTTTGCTGGATTTATTATGCACATCACAAAGCACTCAGAGAACTAATGTTTTGCTCTCTTCCTCCCATTTGTGTCATTCCCTGGAGCCGATCTAAACAAATGAAGTAGGAAAATACAGATAACACAGGTTAGCTACTGAAAGCACAATAATCCTATCTCTATCACCTCGGTGCATTTATTGACTGTTGCTAAAGCTGTTTTCCCTATGTGTTGTCTGTATTCTCTTTGATCTCCTTGGACTAATTCAAAAATAGGCTTGGCACAATTCCGTTTGTATTTTTAAAATAATTTTGACACATAATATTGATGTTTATTGTTAATATTTTTTTATTTATGTACATTTTCACAGTTGTGCAAAATTATGGGTTTTAAGGATTTTTTCTATTGTTATCAATTAAAATTTTCACAGTTCTGGAAAATTAAGAGGGTTCAGACAATAATTATTTAATGATAGTAAATGCTGAGCTTCAAAAAGGTAAAGGTTTATAACCGTTGAAACACAAATTGTCAATATCATGTGTCAAATCATACAAAATAAATCTCTCCTTAAATCAAAGTCTAAGAAGTTCTCAAGCAGCATTATTCTTACTTTGCTTATCTGTAAATTTTGATTATTACTGATGGAAGTATTGTTTTGTCGGTTTGTGGGTGTACAGTGAAATTGACATTTACTGATGTCTACTGATACAAATCTAATCCTTCCAAGCCCATTCATAAAATACAGTCTTTGGTCTTTTAAAACTCCACTGCATAGCTGAAACATATAGTCTGAATTAAAGACCAGATAATTAAGAATATTTTATCTTATATTATAACCCTTTTTTAAAGGACATTTGACCAGAGCAAGCCCTCTGCAGTATTTGCCACGATTCTTCTGCCATCCTCCTCCAGGGGCTCAATGATCTGCAGGAGGGAAAGGACAGTGGTGAGTGTACTCTGTGGCTTCCCCTTTCTTACAGGGCAAAAGAGGTCAATGAGAGAAATCCTTGTCCTGTTGAAGTCAATGGCAAAACTCAAATTCACTTCAGTCAGGCCAGGATTTCACCTTACACATGTAGGGATTAATTTTGTGCTGAACTGTGGAGCACGAGCTGGGCTGCACTCAAGATAAACATCCTATACAGTATTTTAAAATATTTTCCTTACCTGTTCCTCATAACGTCTTAGATCATTACCACTGAAAGACTGTCATAAATTGAATGTTTGTGTACAAATGGAAACTTCTGGCATTTCATTCAGCTTAGGCAATGAGAACTTTTCAGTTTCTTGTTCTGATGAACTAATACAATACTGCTATGTTTGTGTTTCTAACACTATGGGGAACATTTAATCCCTCCCTGTCCCCTTCAAATTATCTATATTTGCATGTTTTTAAAATGCATAATTGAAACATACCATAGCAGATGGAACTTTATGAAAACTTACATTAAAATGGAAGAAGAACTAAAGTGTAAGTTTACATTATTTTGCAGAATTCTTTAAAGGGACCCCCATCAACTTAACATCACATTTACGTCTGAATGTTTTTCACATGTAACACCTTATGTTACCAGAAATGAAAAAAAAATTAGAGGGAAAATATTTTTCTCCCTTTTTTTCAGCTTTTGTTTTGTTTTTTAGTTTTTTCATGTAGTGCATCTGACAGCACTTTGGTCTAGATTCATAAAGGGATTTAGGTACTTAATTGCCACTTTAGATGCCTAAATCCAAAATTTAGATCCTCAAATCTCCTGTGCAGCTGCTGTCTAACCCTTAGGCATGTAAGTTGCCACTAGTGGGCATGTGCAACACTGCTTAAATCCCAGCCTATCTTGGCTGCAGGGGCTGATTCAGTAGGCAATCTCAGAGCATGCCTAATCCATGCAATGCCCTGCTAATGACATAGTGGTTAGTACTTGTGCCTGGTGGCTAGAGCACTTATCTGCACTGTGAGAGACGCAGGTTCAAATCCCCATTCTGTGTAATTTATAATAGGGATTCAGCCACATGTCTCCTATATCCTAGATAAGTGCCATAGCCTCTGGATTATAGGGTATTCTGCGGTGGGTTGCTCTCACTTGTGCCTGCTGAAGCTGTTCCATTTCATAAGAAATACTTAAATATTCACTGGGGCAGAGAGAGAGTAAGAATGACTCTAGACCCCAGTGGCTAGTGCACTCTCCTGGGACATCCAGGTTCCAGTCCCCTATGGTAGAGGCAACTTTCTCCACTAGGTGTTTTTCTGGGGGTGGAAAAACAGCCCCTCCCCGAACCACATGAGCTATGCAGACAGAAACACTCTTCATTGTCTTAGCTATGCCAGTCAGGGGTGTGTTTTTTCACACTGCTGACTGACATATCTATGGTGGTATAAATAGTAAGAGTAGACCAACCCTAACTTTCCCCATACATTGTATAGGGAACCTCAATACCTCACTTGGAGCTGTGGATTCCACTCAGTGGCAAGGCATCTAAAGTTAGGCATTGCAATGCTTGAGCCTAAACCTAAATCCTCCTTGTGGATCTAGCTCTTTGGGTAGACTCAGTTTCAGTATTACTTGGTCTGTATCCCTTGCTATTTTTTGAGTGTAACAACTAGGGAGAGAAAAACATTTTGTAAAATAGGAAAATATCATGGTTAAAACGCCAGAAATTGGCACAGTGACTCTAGGGGAAGTGTAGTAACTGTAATTACTTGAAATTCATTTTTTAAATCATGCTGAATTTCAAGTTGTCTATTTTAAGGTTACATTTATATACAGTAACTGGATTATCTTTATTTCTGACACTTACACCGATCACCCTGTTTACTAAAATGTGTATACTGTTCTGCTTGGGGCACCTTAATGGAACTGGATTTGAGGCAATTAATAATTGACCATTTATTTTCTTCTTCCCCTGGGCCCACATTAGAGATACTGACCAGGGTATTAATAGATGTGTTTCAAAACCCAAAGGGAATATCTGGCCTTTTACGGGAGAGAGGTTCCAGTTGCAAAGTCTGGATCTGGATTAGAACTCTTCCAAAATTCAAGGTTGTTTGGAGCTAGAATTTTGAGAAGATAGGGGCTTACCGTGACCAGAGTTGGATTAAAGCATAAGAACTATAAACCTATGCTTTGGGCCCCAGCTCTTGGAGTTCTGATTGCATCAAAATCTAAGTTTTAATTTAAAAATGTTTTTATCCTTCATGGTTGTGAAGGAAAGCTTGAAAATCTGACCTGAATGTAAATAAATCAGTGATGTCTGGGTCTGGAAACAGATTGAAGCACTAGTTCTGAGAGTTGTGAACTGCCCCAGGCATCTCTATGGGGTGTTATCTCCAAGACCTGTTGCTCTGAGGGACTCTGCCAATACCACCCCACAGAAGATTCTATATATAGCTGGAAGGAAAGAAAATGCAGAAGGCCTGGCCTACCCATCCAAGCAAATACACCCGGCTGCTGGGGCAAGTACTAGAGAGCATTGCTATGGCTATGCCTATCTCTCTGGGAAGTGAGGGGTACCTGCCACTGCCTTTTCAAGTGGGTTGCAGAGCCCTCGTACACGCTTGGAGTGTGGCTGAAGAGCTACAGGGACCCTATGTCATGGTGTGCCTGGTGCCACAAATTACATTAATCCAGCTCTGACAGTGAGGTTTGGATCCAAATCATGAATTCATCCAGCCATTATTCTACCCACCTGTCCACCCACAACCTATTATTATGGGCAGGTGTCTATACGAAAATAGCACAAAGAGCTTCAGAATTTGTTGCGAGATACTCATTAAAAAAACAGGGGTACTGTTGAGGTGCAAAATACACATGGCAAGAGTGGATGTAGCAAGGCTGTGGTGCTTTTTACAGTAGCTTCCCTTTTTACAGTCTGAGGTGCCATCTTTCCGCTGGGATGCAAACCTGAGTGCCCGAACTTTTGTAGTCATTAGGAATGCCATGATCCTGGCCAACGTTTGTGGTTTTTTACAATCACAGTTTCCTATTTTCTAAATGTTTTTCCTCTCCCTTGATGCTGTGTGAAAGACTTCAGGGAAACAACTGACTAAATGATTGACTAACGGTAAGGGAAACTAATTAGCCCACTAACAACAAAGGAAACTGACTGACTATATGCAAAGGGTTGTCAAATGTCCAGCTGAAAAAAATGGAGAAATCTTCCTCTGTGATAGGCTTGATACAGCTCCCATTGGGATCAATATCCAAACTCGCACTGACTTCACTGGTGGAGGACAGATTCTATAGTATTTTTAGGTGTTACTTTTCATGCAAGCAGGTGAAAAATATTCGGTCAGAGCTTTGATTTGAATCCCCTCTGTATTTTCAGTCAGAGTGAATATGGCAATTATTTCCCTTTCCTTTCTCAAAATGTTCTGTAGTGTTGGTGCCACATCATACCATAGAGGTGCCTCATATCAGGACTATTGATTATTGATATACACCTATATTGAGGGGGGGAAAGCTTAGGTAGTAACATAGTCTTTACCCAAATACAAAAGTCCCATCACTTCAGTGGGAATTTTGCAGGAATAAGGATTGCAAAATTTGGTCATTCATTTATACAATAACTTGCGATCTTTCAGGATGAAAGATACGCTATAAATATATAAAAATTAGGTATAAAGTAAACATTTTCTACTCCATAAAAATTCTTTTTGATGGAAGGTTCTTAAAGTAGTGGTCCACACGGCATTTGCTGGGGGGGGGGGGGGGTCTGTTGACAACTGGCTAGCTGGCTCCCCCTTCTCTTTCTCCTTGTCTCTTGCAATTGTATTAAAAGACCATTAAAATGCAATAGCTACTTTCTTTCAGTTGCTTCTATATATCAGCAAGTTGTTGTGGTTGCCAAAGCATGGTATGTGATTGTGAGTAAGAGGGTAGATGGTCTCTGAACTCAGGAATAGGAGAAGTGGCCACGAGACACTCTCCCTGTCAAGATGTGCTCATCAGTTTGGCCATGAAGTCCCTTGCCAAATCTTGGAACAAACACAGGAAGGTGACAAAGCCATGACAACAAAGAGGTACTTGTGTTTACTTTCTCCTGTGTTACAAATGAGTCACTTCCTGACTAGGAAGGGGAAAGAGCCCATTGTTACAGCCCATTATAGCATGGTAAAAATCCAGTTTATCTGTGGCTGTAATAACCATGTGATATGTATAATTTTTTGAACACTCACATTTTAATGTACAGTACATTTTAATTGGAGGCATGGTACAGTCTATTATTCTAATGTATGTCTAATTCCTTTATGGGTGCCATCCTCCAAAGGGGTGCAGCGATCTGGTGCCAATCCAGCAAGGCACTTAAGCACATATTTAAGTTAAGAATGTGCTTTAACTCATTGTTGGAGCAGGGCCAGAGTGCTCAGCACCCTGCAGAATCAAGCCCCCTACAGATTTCCCATTGACTTTAATATGAGTTTCATAGATGGTCCAGTTACAAGATTGGACCCCAGTTCTGCAGGCTATTTAAGCATGTATTTAACATTAGGCCTGTGAATATTGAAGTCAATGGGGCTACTCATGTGAGTAAAATTTAGCAAATGAGTCTGTGTCTGGAGGATCAGGGCTTTAGTAATAGTCCAAGGGTCCTTTCGTGTCTAGGGGACAGAACCTGCACAAACAGACCCAGGCATAGCTGTAAGGTGAAGTGGCAGGATTGAGGCCTAGATCATCAGCTCAAATCTAGTCCAGATCGTTAGTGATCAAAAATCATTACTATCCAATGATTGCCACTCTGTGTGTAATGGGTGAGTGGACGCAGGCTAGTTTCTATTAGTAATATGTGGCCAAATACAGAATTAACTGTTCTTTGCTATACTTGATTCTGAACTGGCCCACACCTGTGGTTAGCTAATTGTGGCTCTAGTCCTGTAACTGGGTCAGGCTGCATAGACCCATGCACCTGCAGAGAGCGCCACTGATTTCGTT